TTTACTTTTCTTCGACTGTGTGTTAGTTCATGGTCTTGAACACAAGAGAAAAAAAACTCAAAGGCGTTTTCAGGCTCATCATTCGGCCTTCTGCTTTTATAGGGAAGCTAGGAGGGAGGACATACCCACCTGACTGGCTTGTTTGTTTGTTTACAACCTACTTCTTTTGCGTCTCGTGTGATTTACCAAGTTGGTTGGATTCGGCATTGCGTGGAAATGGAAAAATACGGCTTCCTGTTAGCTACAGGGCCTTTCTTCAGTTTTTCTTTTTTTTTTTGGACTCCCCACAGACGACGTGTGGGTGGAGGGATGAGGGTGTTCGAGCTGGCTAGGATTTGCGCATCGAACACGCCGGATAGAACGAGAACGTGAGCTGAGGCGAACGAAGTCGGGTCATAATGTAACAGACCTTGGGGGAGGGGAGGTATGAGACTTGAGCTACGAGAGTTGATGGTAATCCTTTATATTTATTGAATGACGGTCAGTGCTTACAACGTCAATCCAAGAACTTTGCATACGAAATGTCCCAAATTTGCCTAGTTGAGTGATTGTGAGAAAACGAATAGTCTACTGGTAGATAGGTAACGATGCTTTGTGTAAATGAGTTTTTTTACTTGTTTCATTTGCATCAGAACAGAGATTATATGTACACATGCCAAGTTTCAAGAAAGTAAGCAAGAAAAGTCTTGCACTTGAAAGTCGTACCAAGTAGATGACCGAAAGGAAAGCAAAGCAAAGTAGCAAAAAATAACAATCCAGAAAACCATTCTCTGGATTTTCTATTCCAACCTTACCGTTCCACACCCCTTTCCAATTCTTTTCTCCAGCCCTATGTTCTTTTTTTTCAATATGTGTGGGAGAGCCACACGGACAAGCTATGTTGAACTTGGTTTCCTATCTATCGTGGTATCTTAGTGTTTTGGTCTGCAGTCCTTTTCTAGAGCGCAGAGTAGGTTGAAGGAGATTCGGAAATGCAACGAGGGACCTCGTCTATTTCAAGTAGATGATTCCTTGGCTGGTTCGGTCTCGCCCTGGGTGGAACTTGCATTGGGGGCGGCCGAAGGCTGGGATGGAGGAGCAGTTCCTGTAGGGCGGCCTGCCGCGACTGATGCGTCGGCGGTTGGTAGCTGTTCACCGGTGCCATTTGTCGGCTGCTGACCTAGCACAGGGACAATCTGCCCAGGGATGATTGGCATAGAGATCCCGGGGGGGATCATTGCTCCTCCCATTGGGAAGCCATCGGGGATTGGCATAGCGGCCATGGCGGTGGGATCAAACGGTATACCATCCATCCCTACTCCCATCATGACGTCGCCGCCGGCACCGCCGTTGGGGATTAGAGGTTCATTGGAAGTGAGGGAAAGTTGGAGGGCTCCAAGCGCACCCTCAGGATGCAGTGGGTACATCAGTGACTCCATTGAACTTCCATCGAGGATAATCATGTTCTGGATAGGCTGCTCCTTCTGGCCAAGAACGTTGATGACATCCTGAGCGAGTTGGCCACCGAGAATTGCCGAGACTGGTGCAATCTCACTGCCTAGGTTCTGAAGGAAGCTACGGAGAAACTCAGAGCTGAGAGTCTCGCTGGGCAGGCCTAGAGCTTTGTGCTTCTGAGTCGCAATCTGAGTGAACATCTTAAGATCCTCGCGATTGCTGGGTACTTGGCCACCCTTGGCCTGCATGAATTCCCACAGGGCACGCAAGCAGGATAAGGCTGGGGTGACGCTCTTCAGGCGGCGTTTGGACTTGGTGTATTCTTCTGGGAGCCCGGCCATATCACTGGCTAGGAACCAAGTGGAGAAGAGCTCACGCTTGGTGACAGACTCCATGTTCTTGGTGCCTTCTTTCCGTGTTTTCACATCAATAATGGACCGAGTTCGGGTTTCCTGCTTCGGCTGAGTAGCAATATTTCCCACCTCGCGCTCAATGACATAGTCATGCTCAATAAGATCGCTAAACAGAAACCCATACATGCCGTGCGTACTGGCTCCGTAGAACTTTCTGCCGTTGAGCCGTGTGGCAGTGTTGATAAGGTTGAAGGAATCTGAATCGAGGTCGGTGGCGATGACGACATCGAAGCCCGCGAAATAGCTGGGACCCTTGGACTTGACGCCGTCTGCATCAATGTGAACCTGGACGCGAGGGTTGAGTTTTTGGATAGCAGGGTGAGCGGCGGCGGCCCTGTTCTGACCAATGGGGTTCTCAACACCAGATAGGAAGAATTGTGCACCGAGATCTGCCTCGGTGACGACTGTGTCGTCTAGAATGGTGAGGGAGCCGATGCCGGCAAGGACGAGATTTTTGGCAATCTCGTTGGCTAGCGCTCTCATGGTGATGAGCAGCACGTTGGCGCTCTGGATCTTTGCTTGAGCGGCCACGCCCCAGAGGCGGATTTGGCGATCATAGAGTGCAATATCGTCTATAGTTTAGTGATTAGCAACCTCCATCGCGGATAAAAAATAATGTCGGTAAGAAGACTAGGTACCTGCGCTGATTTCCTTGGGCTGAGCTGGGGTGGCAGGGGTGTTGCCGTTTGCCATCATGAGAGGCATTGCCATCATCTGGGGATCAGGCATTGGGATGGCCATCATCGAAGGGTCTGGAATGAAAGGCTGTGTAGGTAAGATGGCAGCCATAGCCTCGGGATCCATCAGGTTCGGGTTGGGAATCTGGGGTAGGTCCATAGGGCCAAGGCCATTGGGGGCGATCTGGGGTGTAGCACCGGTGTTCTGAGAGTTCTGCTGCTGTTCAACTGGTGCCTCAGCCGGCTGCGGCGCTGGCGCTGGTGGTTGGTCCATGGTGATAGATGCCACTCTCGAGGAATGTTGGATGGAGGTGATGATGCGCGAGCAGGGTGGAGCTGATGGCAAGCTAGAGCCTTGTCGGAGAAGGATGCAGAGATGATCCAGACGCGTGGTGAGGAAGAGATGAGAAGTTGTAAGCTGTCGTCAAAAAACAAAACAAACCAAAAAGACACTCCGAGCACGAGAAACCGGCCAGCGGATGTTCAGCCCAGCTGAGAGATCGACTAAGCACAAGCACCTTTTTTTCGGATCCGTCAGGTCGGCCAGAGCACTGTCCGGCTCTTAATTTGTATCGTCTTAACTGGGTATGCTTGGGCTGGTAAATATTGCGTGGAGGAAATCTTTGCACCGGCAGAAACGGGCCTAAAAGAGTACGCAGGCACGCAACGAGAGAAAGAAAATAAAAAAGTTGATTTTTATCAACGTGTTGTTTGTCTCTGTGTATTGCTTGTTGGCCGTGTTGGTGATCAGTTTTGGGGAAGACACTGGCGTGAGGCGCCTAAGAGAATGCGCTAGCCTGATTGGGACAGACGGATGATCCACGAAGCTTTGCAGGAATCGAGCCTCGAGGCTGTAGCAGGTGCTCCTGCCCGCCTCAGCCAAGTACAAGCCTGGCAGTCGGCAGGTGCGCAGGCAGCTCTTGCCGTGGCCTGTGGTACATTCTGTGTGTGGCCCTCCAGCTCAGTGCGTCGATCCCCTTATGCCTGTCTCCTTTTCGCCCCGTCGCCACCTAGCATTCATGTTCAGGGCGACAACATCTCGTGCCTGGAGATTGTACCTGGTGAGAGGTTGCAATGCTACTCTACCACTCTGGGGAGCCAATCTTGCTATCGGGTTTCCGTAGAGTCCTGTCTTGGCGCATTTCTTTCTGCTCTCATGTGTACTGCACCAAGTACGAAGCCATGCCATTCCCTCCCGATCTTATTTTACATGCGTCCATATGTCAATCAGCAAGAGGCCTGAGCACATGATACCCTGGTAATGGAGGATGGGCCACCAATCATCTTCACCAGCATTTTACATAGTGTCACCTATAGCTCCCTCCAAAAAGGAATTCCAACTCGCTCTACGTAACTTACCGCCTCTAGCACCGTGAGTATATACCTCGCTGTGGCCCGATTCCGATTCGCCCCCACGACCGACGGGCACGAGCATGAGAAATGCTGCATCACCGCCCAAGCTTTGAAACAACTTGTACTGTCCTGCACATCCTCGGCGTCAGCCTTGGTCAGTGTCTGGAATGCACCTACGACAGCCCGCCATTGGCCATATTCAAGAGCCGTCCAAATGAAATGAGTAGCTTGCATTACGAGATTTGATGTTTGGGACACAGGGCAGACCAGTTTGACAAGGTTTGGCTAGTACCTTGTGTGCTAGGTACTTTATGCGTTAAAAAGGCACCTCAGGGCTGATATCATTTGGGAGGGGTGATGTGATACCTCACCCTCGGCCAGCCACATGTGTCCAGGGAGTAATGGATAGCCCGATAACGATGAGACCTATAGCGGAATATCCACACCTCCTCACATGAGGAAGCAGGTCGGGAACAGGTGCAGCAGCATTTGCCTAGTAGGACTAGCATCGAGTAACGGAGGTAATCCCTTATAGTAAGACCGCCTCAAGCTCGGCACCCCAAAGAAGGGAAGTACCTCGAGAAGGATGGCTTAAACTCTTCCACCGCCTGGCGACACAATCCCGTCATCAACCCATGTGCGATTTGCCCACTCCACCCATGCAGGTCACCTTGTTTTCTTGCCTTGCTTCTTGCATTCTTCCTTTCCCACTCGCCTCCTCCCGCACTCCCAGAGTCCCAGGCGAAGACGCAGAAGCGACAAGAAGCCCTCCCTGACTGGTGCCTTGGAGCGTCCCCAGTCTGAGCCTGCACGTGCTGTGAGCCGTTGCCGCACGCACCCACTGGACCCTGACGGCACAGCACCCGCCCATTACCATCTGCCTCGCTATTAGCGGATGCTGCCTCACTGCCTGCCAGCAAGGCGCCGCCACCACTGATCCATCCAGACTTCCCACCACCAGCGATACCCGGCCGTCGCCCGGCCTTGCAACACTTTAACCGCATTGCACAACTCTCCCCTCCTACCTCTTTTATTTTATTTTCGAGTCGTTGCTGGCATCGAGTCCGTTTGCCAGGATTGTCCCCTCTGTCGACACATGGGGTGGTTGCCGGGTCCTTGAACCATGTCGTCAAGATCTGGCTCCTACTCTCGCCGCCCGCATCCACGCCAACGTGAATCTCCTCTCGACAGACACAGAAGCCGCCCGGATTCCAATCCGAATTCCTATGTTCCAGGGGTGGACATTATTACCAATCCACCTCTCCCACCATCACATCCGAGTCGTTCGGCGAATGCCGCTCGGAGAGCTGAGCGCATCCGCAACATTGACGAATACAGCGGCTTCCAGAGAGCCCCCGATCAGTCCAGCAACTACGAACAAAACCTACACACGAACAGTGCCCACATCGACTCTCTGTGGGCTACTTTTGACGAGCTAGAACAAGCTTCCGACTTGACGAATCTGCAGTTAAGGGACCTCTTGGACCTGACCAACCATAACACCATGAGCCACACCTTGCCACCAGGCAACGCCTCGCCGTTACCGAGATCTTTTGACCCGCCAGACGATAACCGTCGGAACAAGCGACGGAAGATTGATGCTGACCGACTTGCTCCCACCATCTCGCGCATCCGCTATGGCAAATACGGGTCAGTTGAGCCTGGGGCGCTGCGGATGGAAATCCTGAGCTGCGATGGAGGCTCGTACGCATCATCCAACCCGTCTTCTTATGTGGCCGAGAACCTTTTGAGGAATGATGAGACTGTATACTGCACCAAGGGAAACAGGTGCAATGTTGTGCTCCGTCACGAAGGCGGGGCACCCTTCACTCTACATGAGCTCGTCATCAAGGGCCCTACTTCGGTAAATTATTCGCATCCGTAAGTCTTGCTCCCGACTCCCCATTACTGCTGCGACTGACTCTTGGCACCCAGGATACGTGAGGGCATGGTCTTCGTAGCTATGCGCCAGGATGAGGTTCTCACCCGCACCGCCCAATATCAGATCCAATACTCGCAACGAGACCCTCTGGCGACAACTCCAGAGCGAGAAGACCCCACTGTCAGGCCCGGTCGTTACGGCCGTGATCCGATACCCATGGCAAGATTTAGGCGGTCTCAGGCGAACGGAAGTGAAGACGAAGGCTACCGCATGGCCCAGATGCCCCCGGAATTCTCCACCATCATCCCCGAGTTTGGTGTAACGACACTGTGCAACGATGACGACCTAGATGAACACGGCCGCCACATCACCCGCCGAGCCCCGAACCGAATTGGCTCCCTCCCCTTCGAGTCCCGTGACTCCGATGAAGAAAACAACAATACCAACGCCGCCAATATTGCCACTTACAACTACAGTCCCTCCGTCATGGATTTCGACGACTTCCTCGCGGCCGAACATCAAGGAAACCCCTCCCACCTCCTCAGACTCGCTCGCGAGCAGCGTGAGCGCCGCGAGCGTCGTGAAAACCTGAGGGAAACCCCAAGCTCAAATCAGATCCTGCATCAACTCACAAGAGAAACCCAAAACGTTGTCCAGAGCCGGAGTCAGCCCTCGGATACCATGGCCATGTCCTTCGCAGAGGCCCTCGAGGCGCACAACAATGCCACCCAGGAGGCGGTCCGAGCAGTCGGCGGCGAGCTCCTCGCACCCCATGCCCGCTTCTACATCGACAAGCGCAGCAGCACGTGCTCACTCACCTTCGACCCGCCAGTCTCGGGCCGGTTCATCCTCCTCAAGATGTGGAACTCTCACCACGACCCCTCTAGCAATATCGACATCCAGACTGTCATGGCCCGGGGCTACGCGGGAGGCCGGTATTTCCCCACTGTTGATTTCCTCTAGGGGGGAGCGTGGACTTGACTTGATTTTGTTTACATGTCAGGACGCAAAGGGATGTTGGGAAAAAATGTTTGAAATCCACAATACCTGGCGTTGGTGTTTGTTCTTTCAAACTGCTTGGAGGCTTTCCCCTTTCCCTCGTTCTTATATGGTTTAATTTCTCGGGTGATGATTTTACGTAAAGGCGTTTTTACAGGCCAGTGAGGAGATCACGGTTCTTGGAGGTTTGGAATAGAATATATTATTTATGATGTTACGACTTTTGACAGCTCCCCGTTGTTAATCTTAGGTAGTGAGAAAAAGGAGAACGATGAACTGGCCCCCCATGACGGGCAGTTCCCTCCCAGCGCTGTACTCGTACACACGCCTCGAGAGCAGAGGAACCCAAAAAATATGAATTCCAGTTCTTTATAACTCCTGAACCATGCTTGGAACCTGAAGCATGCTTGGACTCCTTGTAGTCAACTCCTTTTTTGGGTATTCTCTCACGCCTGGGTCCTCAAACGCAACGGACAGGCCTGTAAACAGCACCCCGGTGAGACTGAAATTCAAAAACTGCGAGTTAGCTTCGACTACCATGCGATTCGACCCCGGGAAAGAACACCCCTTACATGATAGAACCTGTTAGGCTGAAGACCATGCCGCCCACTCTGTGGGTGGCGGTCCTCCCGACGGCGAGCAGGGACCCGGGGATCTCGTATATCGGGGAGAGCTGCGCCCAGACGTACGCCTCGTGGAAGATGAGCACCAAAGCGAGGGCGTGCAGGACGGTCGTGAAGAGGGTGCAGCGGCGGACGTAGCTGGGCGTGAGGAAGGGACCCGGCCCGGAGGCGCGGCGGTGGCGGGCCACGGTGGTGATGAGGGATGCTACGAGGACGAGGGAGGCGACTCCCGCGGCGGCGGCCGTGTAGTTGTAGATGGCCCAGTCCGGGTACAGGATATTCTTGATGCGCTTGATCTTGGCCATGGCGGCGAGGGAGAGGGCCAGGAGGACGAGGTTGGCGACGGCGAAGATGACGAGCTGGGCTGCGAGGATGAACTGGGCCAGCTTGGAGGGGTGGCGGCGTTGCCTGTACATGGTGTATGTGTGGTGGTTGGAGTTAATGGATGCTGCTAAGTGATGGTATCAAGACGATGGTGAGGAAGGATGTTTAATGCGTGGACTTGGAAACGACTGGAAGATGCAAAGACTCGCGAGACGATGAGAGATGGTATCTACAGTACTAGAAGTTGGGCATTGGAAGTAGGGGTCTACGATGGTCTTGTTGATATCCCGGAATGCACTTGCCTCGTCTGGAGGTTATTGAACGTTGAATAGGTAGGTGCAAGCACTTCTTTGTGTTATTTGGCAGTTTACCTCTAGAGATGTCCTCAAGGTTTTGAATAGGTAAGAGTGATGGTTTTGTCTAGGTAGGTAGTTTACAATAGACGGAAGTTGAGGTTCAAGATGCAAAGTATCAAAGTCCGGATGTTGCTGTTAAAAGTGGCTATTTACAAATGTCGGATAGAGTTCCAAAATTCAGACTCACAACCAGTAACAATGGAATCGAGACACCGCAGGTCTAGCCTTCGTTGTGACCTGCTTTGGAGCTGTGGCGAGCATTTCAAAACCTGTTGAGGCCTGTTAATGAGTAAATAAGGGAGACACCCTCTTTCATTGTTTTCATCATCGGTGCTATATTACTCTGGCTATTGCAGATAGTGTGGTTGCTCATCACTTTGGTGTCTCACTTCTTTTGTCACCCTGCTGACCCGATGCTGACGGCTGAGCCCCTCGCTTCGAATCGTGCATGCAGTGGGGATGGCGATGACTGGCCTGGGCCAAATGACGGTCGACTACGTAAACTCACCCGGCGGAATACTTGGTATGCCCTGCCTCGTATTTGATCGGCAGCTCTGCCTCACTGGAGGAGGGAATTGAAGGCATGGGTCTCGACCACAGGGCAAGACACAAGCACTGGTTCCACGACACACAGCACAAGACTCGAGAGGGCCTGTACTGTCGTAACACGCATCTTGCCCGACCTTTTTAGGTGGATTTTCTTTTCGCCACAGGGCATGTAATGCATAGGCCTGCTCTTCGATCTGGATCACATAGAACTAGATGTATACGACGTACGAAGCACATATTGCCTGTCCATTCTCTGCAGACTCAAGTAGTGCAGATCCATCCATCAGCTGAGGGGCAGAGAAGCACAGGCGGGGCGGTATGAGACAATGAGTTCCAGAGTGGAGGACTGATGAACCCCTCAAACAGAGAGACTTGCCAGTAACGACTGTACCTTAGACCTTTAGGTGCTCGGGAAGGTGCATGTGATTCTGCTAGCGAGTCCAGGGACTAGGAAAGGCAGGGGTCAGTCAGGTATGCGCGATGCATGCGTGAATAAGTCGATGGGAGGTAACGTCGCGAGGCGTAGCTTCCTTGCCTAGCAGAGACAGATGGACGCAAACAGTGCCCAGGTTGGCAATTGCCAGGGAGAGTTTGCGCTCTGCTTCTCTCATGTACTGGACATTGATGAATGCAATGTTCTACCCTGGCGCAGAGGCCAAGGATTGTCTGCACTGGAGGCAGCACACCAGATCCACCCGCAGCCTGTCGACCAGCCCGTCAACGGAGGCCGTCAGCCAATCTAGATGCACAAACGGACAACGAACATGGATATCTCATGCACCACCAACACTAGGCCCTCGACTGCAGCGACATGCCCAACGAACCACGAGTCGTTGTGGCGCCTCCCACAAATGGTTCAGCCTCCATGTTTACCTTGCTTGCCTGCGTCTCCCATTCAGCCATCTTTTTCTTTCCTCCTCCTCCTCCACGGCAGTATTGTTCATAGTTCATCGCATCACCGATGATACACTCGGCGTCATACGTTGCACCCGGCGACCAGTCTGCGCGCCACTCTCAAACATCGGCATTCCTCGCCATAAGCCAGTGATCGACCTCGCTCCCGGCAACTTGAAACAGCCCGCCTCCTCATTCCCCACGCTTCTGGCAGACGACAGACAAATAGCACCCGTCCATCCAGCCAGCCTACTCTTGCTCCATGTCCCGCCTGTTTTCAGATCCGATTCATCATCCTCAAATCTCCCGCTAGCTAGTTGAGTTGGCCTTGTGAAAGTCTGACAGACGAGCCGGCCCTCGCTAGGACGGCAAAGCTCCCCCCATGTTCAGCGAGCTATCGATATAGCTTACCTATCCACCAAAAGTAATATCTCCTCTGGATCTTACTCTTACGGAAAAAAGCTAGCCCAGGGACCAAAAAAAGGCCCGAGGCCAAGGATTGTAGAGGAGGAAGACGCAAGCAGCCAAAACAGAATACAAGGTGCCGGATTTGACACCAGATAAAGGGCTCTGATCCGTTTCATTAGCCAAACGCGGACTGTCAAGCCTTGATGCGCATTGACTAGCTCGTACGAGCAATCTACGGGAGCCTTGTTCCCCACAACGCCGTTATGCTAGAACAGCTAGGCTCCCATGCGATGGAGGATGGATCCCCTGTCCAGGGGCATCGCGGTCATAACGCCTACGGCCAACTCCAAGAGCAGAGCTATCATGACCGTCCTCGATCGTTTCGCACCGTACAGACCGCATTGACCTCGCCTCCTCCCCTGAGTCTGCAGTGCGACGGGATCTTGGCCGATTCTGCAAGTCCCTTCACTCCTAGTCCTGCCTCCCCCATTGGAGCTTCTAGGCAACGCGATTATTTGTTTACCAGCCGGCCAGAGAGCGGTTCTCCAACTAAACAGCGGTCGCCTCTGCGCCAGTCCCTGACTTTCACCGAGCCTCCTGAAATCAGCCCAGGCCCGGATCCCACAAGCGTCGAAATGTCGTACACCGGAGACAAGAGGAAACCGGCGAATAGCCCTCGAGAGCGCGGATTACCATGGCGAAGCCCATCGATTTCCGAGAGCCAAGACCAGCCCGCGGGCTCGCCAGATACCACGCCGACACGTCCAGCCAAGTTTCAGGGAGGCAGTCGAACGCCTAGCTCTAAGCCCTCGTCACCATCTGGGAGCTCTCGGTTTGCCTTCTTTGCCTCGTCCATGGCCGCATTCAAGGGGCGATCGACGTCTAATCCAGTTATGGTGCCTCAGGACGACTATCTCATTTCGATGGACATAGAGAGTGCACTGTATCCCGGAGGTGCCGAGGCGAATTCCAATAGCTTCTCGCCTGCTGCATATAAGAATCTACAAATGACTGCAAAGGGATTATTGGAGCGGTTCCAGTCTGCTTACCAGCAAAAGGCGATTGACTACCAGGAACTCAAGGCAGAGCATGCCGTCCAGGATGACGAAAAGGAGGAAGCCGAGACGAGAATGCAACATCTGAGGATCCAGCTGGAGGGCATGGCACAGAAAGCCGCCGAACAGGAACTTGCAATGCAAGCTTTGATGGAGGAACTCGCGCTCGAGAAGAGACTGAGGCGGGAGGAGAGGCAAGCGCGCGAAAACTGCACGTCTGTATCAGGCGAGTCAACGCCATCGGAAGATTTAGGAGTGGAAGAGGACCAGAAACACAGACAATGGAGACGGAGTGTCTGTACTGCAAAGTCAGATATGAGCTTTGAGACGGACGAGGAGAGCATCGAAGGAGCCAGTGTCTTTTCAAGATCACGCAGCCCCACCATCGTTACTACCGTGACGGAGCTCAGCCATGCCGACCAGGCGCTGCCGCCACCCTCGAGGTCTCCAGCCTCGCCAGCTCTTCGAGTCGTGAGGCAGCCTCCGACGCCACAGGCAACACAGATGAATACCTTTCAAAAACTGTTCAAGGGCATATCGGGCGATGCCAACTCTACAACCAGTGTGGCTTCATGTCGAAATTGTGCTGGTCAGGATGCCAGCATGGCATGGGATACGGTCACCTTACTCAAAGATGAGAACAAGGGCCTCAAAGAGAGAGTGGGAGAATTAGAGAGTGCGGTTGAGGGTGCTCTGGATATTGTGCAAGGTTTTGGAATAAAGGGATTGGCAATTCAAGGCTAGAGATTATCTTTGGCAAGTTATACCCCAGCTCGTTGATTTTGGCGTTATGATTGGGATTGAGGTTCAAGTCAAGGCGCTCGGGAAGATATCCTCACATATACATAACTGGTGTTATGAAGCAGAATACCTGTTTGAAATTGAATTATCGGAAAGAAAAAGAGGAATTGTATTCATGCATGGTGAATAATTTGCGTGCCATGCTCTCATAGATTTATCTGTAACTTTCATCTGCGGCCCGAGCAGCCCGAATGCGTTCTGATATCGAAATTCTAAATTAATGAGGGAATGAAAGTGATAGACGTGGTTATTTGTTTATTGATATGGCTGCCAAGAATATATGAAGGAGCCGTCCTTGAGTTGTTGTCAGGCAGGCTGTGTGCCCACTTCAAATAGAATGTCGCTCATTGGTCGATCTTAACTCGGCTTGCTTCAAGACGTAGGAGCTGGTTGCTCTTGCGTCGGTTCATATGGTGGCCGTTCTGGATGATTTGACCGGATTTATTGCCCTAAGAAATTGCCCACTAGCTGTTGAGCGAGTGCGATGTATATGTACACTTTTCTTTCCGCCTTCCCGCCCCCCTCTTCAACGCATAGCCGCCGTGTCTAGTGGTGCTCCTCGCCATGGCCGTGGTCGTCCCCGTGGTGGTGCTCCTCCTCGAGGAAGAAGTGCTCGTAGAGGCAGTATCCGGCGAAGGCGACGGAAGCTGTTCCCAGGCCGGGGAGACCTCCCTTGAATCGGTTCCATCGGGTGAAGGGGCCCTGGTATCTCCATGCCTCACTGCGGGGGGTTGTTAGTCTCGGGGGAGATGTAAAGGGGTCGATTCGGGTCTGGTGAAGAGGTTTAAATGTTGAGGATGAACGTACGCTCGCTCCCAGGGATCGTATCTGGGCTGGCCGGTCGAGGCCTTGAAGGCGCGCATGTTGAAACCGGTGATGTTGGCTTTGGACCCGTGGGCCGCTCGTAATACCCTGTTGCGCGGGAATTGTTAGTTTTTGGGGGCGCCGGGTGGTTCTAAGCGAAGAATCCTACCTTGAGGCGAACATTTTACCGGTTGAACAGACGTGTGGTGATGTCAATCGGTCAGGCTAGGTCAATTGATGGCGAGCGTGAGGACTGGAGAGCGTCGGACGAGTCGTTTCTCGGAACAATGTAGCACAGAAGTTCCGGCTCTCCAACTTCAGCGCACGGGCCACCTCCAGACCTCCCCTTGCATTCCACCTCACACTTCATCTTCAATAGAGTATTTGGACTACACTACACTTCAACCCACTCTCAACCACTTATCTCGCCACCGCACTTGAATCCACTTATCTGTATAATTTCCTCTGGACAAAAATCCATCCGAAATTACCCAGCTCGACTGCGTCCTGTCCGGATTGTGCCAGGCTCACCGACCCCTCCCCGCGATTAGGTATCCTTATCACGCCTGACTGGCTTTGCCTGGGACTCGACCTTTCGCTAGTGTGCGAACCTGGCATTGGATCCCGAGCGACCGAGGCGCACGCACACGCCAGTTTGGACTCAATGAGTACCCAGCGAGACGGTGTGAAGAACTTCCAGACCAGAACGACGACGCGTTAGAAACCGCCATCCGGCAGAACCTCCCAACAACCACCGCCTTCGTCATCTCACTCCGTCCCGCAACCCGCCACCAACAGCCACCCGACACCGAGCCTCTACACCCGAGGAGCATTTCAAGGCCGAGGGCGAGGGAACCCGCATCGCAAGCAAATTGCGCCGCCCCCGGGTCTTGAGCCGTTCACCAACCAATATCCTCAGAGCTTTGTTCCTGGTGCACAGGGCCACTACGGCATCATGCCACCCCCATTACGGGCCTTCGGCGCCGGCCCTGGCGTCGGCGCGCCGTTCCATCAGCCTGGATTCCCCTCGCATGCCCAGCCCCACGGCGGGCCGCTGGGTGCGAACCAATACCTCAACGCCAATGCCCAGATGAATCCCTTCTCGGGCGCAAACGGCAATGCCTTTGGCGCAGCTGGGCTGAATGGCGCGGGGGCCGGCTTCCCAGACACAGGCTTCGGCAGCCAGAGTGCGCGGATGGGATTTGCGCATGGCCCCGGTGCTGGCATGCAGCCCCCTCACCACGCTGGCCACCTCCACCACGGACTCGCGGAGCAGCAGCATATCAGGCCCAACCAGAGCCGGGGGAGGATAAGGGAAGTGTGGGCTCACAACCTTAACGAGGAGATGGCCGTATTGCGAGATTTGGTAGACAAATATCCCTACATTGCTATGGTAAGGACTGCAGACACCCGCTTGAAGTTGAGGTGTTTCCCCTTTGGCTTACAGATGCAACTATGCAGGACACCGAATTCCCCGGTGTCGTATCGAGACCGATGGGAGGATTTCGGGGGAAGAGTGACTACCATTATCAATGCTTACGAACGAACGTGGACATGCTCAAGGTTATCCAGATCGGGTTGACGTTGTTCAACGAGGACGGCGAGACGCCACCCGCTAGGCCAGCATCCTCAGATATGGACGGGTCAGGCGGACGACGGGGCACTAACCAGGCCGCGTTCCCATGCTCGTGGCAGTTCAACTTCAAGTTCTCCCTTAAGGAGGATATGTACAACGAAAAGTCGATCGAGTCCCTGCAGCAGGCCGGCATAGATTTTAACCTCTTGGAACGAGACGGAATCGATCCCCACGCCTTCGCTGCTCTTCTGATTCCATCTGGCATGGTCTGCTTCGACAATGTCCGGTGGATCTCTTTCCATGGAGGATACGACTTTGGGTACCTGACCAAGTTATTAATATGCACTGCTCTCCCCAACGACGAGGTCGACTTTGACCACAAGATGAAGCTGTACTTCCCCAGCACTTACGATGTTAAACACTTGATGAAGTTTGCCATCAAGCTTCATAACTCGGGGTTCCTGACACCCCTCGACCCCAGCGTTGCTGATATTCTACAAAAGTTTGAGCACAAGTCCGGGCTCGAGAACATCGCCGAGACGCTCAAGATTAAGCGTGTTGGGTCGGCTCACCAGGCCGGCTCGGACTCGCTGCTCACCGGCAAGGTCTTCTTCCAGATGCGCGACAAGATCTTCAACGGCGAGATCCCCGACGAGCACGTCGGCAAGGTCTGGGGACTTGGGATCCCCGACTCCAGCCACCTCGTCATGCCCCCGATGATGAGCCAGGGCGGTGGCGGCGACGGCCAGACCAACGGATCCAACAACCAGAACGGAGGCGCCCCCAGCACGCCCAACAACGGCACCATCGGCCTGGCGACCACCCCGGCCGCCCAGAGCCACAACACCAACGGCCTGGCCCATATGGGGCCGATGACGCCCGGGGGTGGCGGCGGCGTCTTTGGCAACTTTGCATTTGCGGGCAACAGCAGATAGGACGCTGTGCGTGGATGCCGAATGGACCCGATGCAGTGAAACAACAAGGGAAACTTGGGAACAATGGAGCGGTGGAGTTGGCAAGGCGGGAAGGAAGGTCGACAACTCTCGACATTTTACATGAAGAAAAGTAAAAAGGAAATCGAGGAAGCCGGAAGAGCAGCAGCATAATATACTGAAGCAACCCTTCTACTTCACCCGTCCCCTATATCTATCTCTTTTCAAAATACCGGGACGAGTTCTCTTCGGAACCCCCTCCCAGCTTCGCTCGTTTCAGTTTTCCCACAGACGACGGAATAAGAAAGAATCAACAACAATACCCAGATCCTGTCAGGAAGGCAACTCTTGCCCCCTCTCCCCCTTTAGGTCGTGACTCATTTCCTTGTTTGAAGGTGGTGTACTACTATGGACAATCGGAAAGGGTTGGAACGGAGTTTTCAAATTTTATCAATTTTGGCTCGTCGCTTTTTACTCGGTAATCTGATATTTTTCGTCACGAAAAAAAGGGGGTAGGAGTGCTGGATTGGACGGGGTGGTGGTGTTGGAAGCTTTCTTGGTCGTTCTGGTTTTATCCCTGGCGTCAACGATTCTGCATTGTTTCGACGGAAGTATTTGGGTTTTCCTTTTTTTTATAGGATGGCGGATGGGTTTGGCGCGGTTTCTAATGCTCTTCTTTTGCCGGGGGGGATTTCTGTTGCCAAAGGGGGGAGAAAAGGGGTTCCGTATCGGGGCCCCGTTGCGGAATGGATTCTTGTGTGCTTTTCTATGCGTGGTGTCCTTTCTCTTTTTTCTCGGTTTCGTTTTTTTCTTTTCTCGTCCTGTCTTTCATTTTTCTTGGTAACACACATACAAGGTTTACCGATACGATATTGGTATTGCACATCCAAAAAGCCTACGCTCATTATCGGGATGCTTGGAAAATGGAAATGGAAATGGAAATCGGGATAGACGAATGCAGAACTCTGAATACGCTGGAGGTTGTCCTATTTCCGTTGCTAATGCTAATTTGGTTGTTATGAATGCCTCCTCCCACTTCAATCGCCAGGTTCAGAGAATTCTGGCAATTGAGAAGAATTGATATCGTGCTACCTACGACCACCCGCTCCATGAACTCTCGAAGCAAAAATGTAATCAATATTGTTGTAAACCACCCATGGATAAAAGAAAAGTGTGATGTCCGGCTGTAAATCAATACTTTGAAACGCCCCCCTCCCGTATACCGACTGAGAGCATGGAATGTCAAAGAATGAGAACGTGAAAAGAAATGCTTGTTATGTTATGTACAGCTTCTTGAGGTCCTCTTGGTGGTGCAGCGTGCCCGTCATCGGGTCCTTGACCTGGCACGAGGGGAGGCCGGCCTTCTTGGCCTCGTCGACGAGGCGCTGCTTGCTGCAGGTCTTGCCGGAGGGGAACATGACCAGGTCGGGCTGGACGTGGCTGTTGGTGTGGTGGGCGTAGGGCACGTACTTGGCGAGGTCGTTGAGCTCCGTCGAGCAAATGGGGCAGACGCCGTGGTCCTGGGAGCTGTTGTCGTCCTGGTGGTGGTGCGCGCGGACGGAACCGCCCCCTTGGTTCGTTGTGGAAGAGGCGTGGCAGGCTGGCGTCTTGAGGGCGGAGAGACCTGACGAGAGGGCGATGTGGAGGAGCGGGACGGAGGGTAGGGAGAGCAGTTGGTTGTGGGTGGTGGTGAAGAGGTCGGCCAGCTCGGTCCAGCGAGGGCGGTAGAGGTCGGCATAGCAGTCCTCCGCGTTGCGAGAATGGGGGGGCAGGGCGAGGAGACCGCAGGCCTGGGCGACCTCTCTAGGGTGCTGGCTGCGGTAGGGGATTAGATGCTTCTTGGCGTGGGTGATGGCCTCGACGAGCTTGGGCTGGGTGCCTGCCCGGATGAGCTCGATGTACTGCTGGAGCCGTAACATGAACTCTAGCTTGCACTGTACCTCGGCATGTTAGTGACTGATTGAGAATGGGCTATTGAGCGGGTGAATTGAGAATCATACCTCCATCTTCCGAAGCTCCTTCTTATTCTCTGCACACCAGGCCAGAGCTTCCGCAACGCTCCCGCTCAACAGAGCGAGTCGGATCCGCCCCATGCTCTCAAATGTCTCGACGTCCACCAGCCGCTCCATGTTTCGTTCCTTGGCCAGCTGCTTGGCGCTCTCGTGGAACCCGTTCCGGAGAAAGTAGTCGGCGATCAGCCTGTCCAGCCTCTTCCTGCTCCACGACTCGTACTTGACGTCCTCGACGGTGTTGATGCCGTAGAGGTCGTCGAGGTGCTGGATGCGGGCGGCGGTGTGCTCGTGCAGGCGGGCCTCCTCGCCCGCGTACTGGGACAGCTTGCGCTTGACCCCCCGCATGCGGGTGATCATGGCGTCGAGGTTCTTGAGGACATCCTGCTGCGAGGCCCGCCCGGATACCGCGGCGGTGGCGGATTCCTTGAGGAGGTTCTTGAGCGCCGATGTGTCTCTCTCGATCACAAAGTGGGCTGACCGGAAGTTCTTGCGGAGGAGCTCGTTCGGGAGGCGGAGAAGCGGCTGGTCCTGCAATACAAGAGCAAGAAAGACATGTTGGTCAGCTTAATAATGATATATAGCATCTCAAAGCAGAGGGAGCGAGAGATGGGCGGACGTGGGCACTTACAAGAAGCAGGTGGTCATTGTGCTTAATGGCGGAGGACTCGTGACTGGCCATGGTGGAAGTGCACAAGAGGCGACGGTTTGAGGCTGGCCGGTAAAGCGGAGTGCAATGGACACGGGATCATTTGAACGGTTCTCAATTCCGGAGAAGAAGGCCTCGAGTCTTGTGTCACGAGAAGCCTTTCTCAGTCGCTGGTGAGTACAATGCATGCCAGGACGGTGTCGGGCTGGTGCAGGGCCTCTGTGACGTTATCGCGGGGCCGGATTAACATGCTGATAAGATACCTGGGCTGAAGTACCTCGTCGACGCTCAATGGCATTTATTATCTCGCCCCAGTATATGTCGGAGTGGGCATGATTGAGATTAAACCTGTTGTGATACAAGAACTAACTATGTCTACGATCAAAGTACAATAAATCGGGAAATGGTTGCTTGTTCGCAGAGAGCTGTGCATCTCAACGCCAGTGACATTGGCTTACACTGAGCTTAACGCATCCCTGCTGGTAGATGCAGCTTTCATGTACCCAACTATCCCGCCATAATAGAGTATATTCAACCTAGTTGAGTAGTATTTGGAATCCATGGACTTTCCTAGCAGGCGCAACCACCCGCCGGGTTGTTGGGATAATCTAAAGGCTGCTCCTACAATGGACACGCACTCTGTCTGTTGGCTGCATGTTGGTGGCTGTCAGAAAGGATGGATCGGCTGGATGTCTCAAATGTCATCATGTTGGCTCATGCAGCATTTCAGAAGGTCCACAGGGGCTGGCAAATCACTTGACGTGACCTGCATACGACTGTTGGCAGGCCAAGACATCAGATAAAGGGTCATCTCTGCTCTCTGCCCGCGAGTGCTTGATGGCGGCGTGGAACGGCACAGCAGCCACAGCTCTCTGCTGGCGATGGCACTGTTTCGAGAAAGGGCATGCGAACACTCAATGTTTCACTTCTGTTGTGGGCTACGTAGTATCAAATGATGCGATCTGGATCAGGTGATAGATGGATGGAATTCGCAAGGAGGTGTTGCTCGCCAACTGTGGGCCCACTCTGGGTCGCTGAGCTGTGCCGCTTTTAGGTGAGCTACTAGCGAACTGGCTGACATAAAACATAGCACACTAACTAAGACTCTTTCCACATAAGGGTATCCATGTATTATGTCAGTCGCTTACCAGTGTAAGATACTCACAAAGAACCGTTGCTATTAATGATATCAAGCAAGCATAGTGGGCACTACAACCCTGCATTCTAGCTGCATCTCTTGAGGTCCAAGGTTCTGATTCTCGGTATTGGTGTTGGAAAGGCAATTCTGGTTCTCTGGGTCGTCTCAAAAAGCCATGCCGTCGTACGAGAAGGCCTTGAACGGGATCTCATTCTTGGGCTTACTGGTGAAAAGGTAGTGGCCTACGACCAGCAACGAAGCCTGAATTTTGCTGGAGTAATGGCAAGACCCTGAATATACCTAGCCAAGCGGGTGACAGAAGACATTGCACACCAAACGTTACTTTGATCTCCCCTTTGACCAAACCCCTTACC